GGGTTTAATATTTTTCCTAGAACTTTTTTTTTTTTTTTTTTTTTTTTTTTTTTTTGATTGATATTTCAAAAAAAAAAAAAAAAAAAAAAAAAAAAAAAGAAAGAAAACAAAAAGAAAACAAAGCTATAAACACCAAACTGAAAAACCAACTCCTCAAGGTGCGAGACAGCACAGTGCTGTCCTGCCTACAGGGCTCGCGTGTGTCCTCGGCAGAAGGCACAACAGTGTCCCTGGAGGACTGGTGCTCCCGGGGAATGCCAGGGACCGAGGACACCAAACCAGCAGCAAGAAGGGGGTCTGTCCGCTTGTTGCTGATCATATTTATCTACCCACCTGAAACACAGTTCCCGCTGACAGAAGTACGTCAGGCACTGCTCACAACTGGTTTTCCACCTCCTACAGCAGGGTTCTCGCTCACCATTTCCCTTTAGCCCCTGCTCATTCCCTCTTTCCCCAGTGATCCACCAGCAGGGCCTGGAGCACTGGTTTCCCCAGCTCTCTGCTAGCTGCCCAAACGGGTGGCTGAAACAGAAAATTCTGCTCAATGAACCACAAGGAATCAACTTGAGAGAGGGTACTTAATTGTTTGAAGAATGGCTCTGATGATTTGCAATAAAGCCAGCTTGCAAAAAATCCCAGGACTTCCCTTCAGAAGTCATACAGGGAATCGGAAGGACAAAGAAATTTGCCTCTTGGCTGAGCTTAATAAGCCAATGTGTCATTTTGGTGGGCTTTTGTGGGCTATCAGGCATCCAGGTGAGAATGGAGAGATTACAGACGTGTTAAATTTCTGCTCTGAGGGCTATCTGACCCTTGGCAGCCTATTTCAGCTGCCAGGATGCCAGCAGAGAAAATCTGTGAAAGCCAAAGACATGAACATCTGTTTTAAAGCTACGGATGGGAGAGTAAGCACTGACTACAAGGCAAAATGATGTGAAAGGTCCACTGTGCTCTGAACAAGAAATGGCTCCACCGGCTTCTCTGGTAAGAACAGGGGTCTTCTATGGACACCTCATAGGCTTAATATCCTGCTGGACTTTATTTATCTCTGGACAGTGCCTTCGGCAGCTCCTCCAATTAGCCATTTGATCTTGAAATTGCTTCTGATTTTCTTAGGACAAGTTTAGATTAGAAGAAGTGGAAGACCACCTGTAACCTGGTCAAAACACTGCTAGACTAAAGAGAGAACAAGAAACCAGCAACAGTATCTGAGAAGATTAGTTGGAACTGGAGACTAGGCTGGAAAATATTGGAGGGTGGAACTAAAGCAGCTGGGCTGATTTCTATCATAGATACCAGAAGATATAGA